TGTTGTGTTTGTGTTTGCGAATTGGCGCCGACCGCGCTACGTAGCCGGCTGACCAATGGAACGGCGTCAGTCTTCTAGCGGGGGGCGTGTGTGTGTTGCTTCAATTAGCGTCGACCGCGGCATCCAACTGACCAGATTAAATTGCTTTTGGTGGTTGCGTCGTTGGGTAGAAAAGGGGGGGTGGAGGGAGCAGCGGCAAGTGACACGGAGGAAGTCAGTGAGTGGCATTGGCATTGTTGTCGTTTTGCCGTACACGGCGATGGTTTTCTTGTTGAGCAAAAAGCACAGATCGGAAGCACGCTTTGAGCTGCGCCGGCATCGACGCTCAGGTAAAAGTCCACCCTTCACGCGTTCCCCCCTCACCCACCCCTGCGCTCCTACTTCCCCGTGTCCCATTCGTACCCTGTCTCCTTTCCTCCGTTCGCGTGCTATTAGGAGAGGCAGCGTGGCCTGCGGGTGACGGTTCTGGAGGGCCCACCCTCCGCGTCACAGCCGGGCTTCATCGACGCCTTCCTCCTGCCGTTCTTCACGGCCCTGCTGCCGATAGCCCCTGGGCTGGCGGACGAGTACATCCCCAATCTGCAGGACAACAGGTGAGAGGGCGGGGTCTTAATTTGACCCTAAACCTACCTACATATCCCTAGCTCTTCCTCCACCTCGGTGTAACCGACTCGGAACGATGGATGACGGACTACCCTGGTTCGTTGGAGAGAGACCGAGGGAAAGAGGGCGCCCACAACGAGCGGCGCGCCGCCGCTGCTTCAGTTTTTGTGTCGAGGAGCGTTTTTGCGGAAGGATACATGTATCGTTGAGTGCAGCAGCGTTGGGCGTGTGTTCAAGACACTGTCTGTTGCGACTGCTTGTGTTGATTTTGTCACCAGGGGCGCTATTCTTCACTTGTTCGAAAATCCATATAGCGGCCGTGTATACATTGGCGTGTGTGACGCCCGGCGTATAATCACATCCTTGCACCCTCCCTCTCCCCCTGCTTCCTCCCCCCAGGAACCAATGGGCCGCAATCGCTGAGCAAGAGGCTCAGCTCGCTTCCCCAGACAGAAGCAGCAACGTCAACAAGGCCGGCGACAGGAGCAGCACCGGGAGCGTGACCAGCAGCGGCCCGGGCAGCGCGGGCGGCGGCGGCAGCGGCGGCGGCAGCGGCGTAGGCCGGCGAAACAGCGGCGGCGCGGACAGCAACAGCAACGGCGGGGGCGGCAGCGGCCTGCCGCCGCCGCCGCCGCAGCTATCTGGGTCGTCGTCGTCCCCGGCGACCTTCGACGGGCAGCGGCGCTACAGCGGCGGCGCGATCGGCATCGCCAGCATGCTGGGCAGCCTGGTCACCGTCCCGACCGGCCGCTCGATCAGCGACGGCAGCATCGACAGTCGCGTCAGCAGCACCATCAGCAGCTCCCCCGGGGTCCCGCCGGGGTTCGCGGGCTTGCGCGATGAAAGCGGCGCCGGCGGCGCCGGTGGCGGTGGCGGCGGGGCGGTCTGGAGACGGCAGAGCGCGATGGGGCCGGCGACCGGGGCAGGGGCCGAGTTCGGGTATCCGAAGTGGCGAGGGGGTGCTGTTCGAGGAGCGAGCGTCCCGCGGGGCGGGGCAGGGCGGGGAGAGAGGGCGGCGGGGGACGGGGAGATTGTGAGCGAGGCCACCACGGCAGACAGGGCGAAAGCGATACCACCGCCACCAGCAGCGGCAGGCGCAGCAACAGGGTGGACGATTGATGTTGGCGGCGGCGGGGTCTCGACATCTGTGAAGGCCGGGGAGGTGGATTCGGAGGAGCGACAACAGGGGGGGAGTGAGGAGAGGCCGGACGGGGGAGCCGAAGGACAGGCGCTACCCGAGGTCTTGCCTGAATGAATCAAGAAGAGCAAGCACGGACTGCTTGCTAGGGGGGGAGATAGAGG